TCAAGCCTGGGCCCAGATACAGCCACAAGGGGAGAGTGCTGCAGGGATCCAGCAAGGCCACCTGGCTGGTGTCACAGAGACACACACAGGCCACCCTGACCGTGTCAGAGACCGTGTCACACTGTCCAGGTTCCTAGGGGAAGTGTCACACACAGTCTGATTTACAGTATCCTGGGACAGCGTCTCCATTCACTCACAGGGTGACCTGTACTGTCCCTTGTAGACACATCCACAGAGTCACATAGATAGACATGGAGTCCACACAGATAGAGACAGTATCTGCAGGACAGCAGTGGCAGGCAGCGGCACAGACACAGGCAAGCAATGCCCATCCCCCGCCAGGGACAGCGTCCCACCAGCACAGATAAACTGTGTCACACAGACAAGGGAGGCACCCAGCAGTGTCTGCAGACATGGATGGACACATTGTATCTGGTACAGTGTCGCCCCAGTAAACACAATATCCCACGGCATCTGCTGGCATGATGTCCCTGACATGGTGTGACACAATGTGGGACCCTCACTATCACATGTGCACATGTGGCCACGACCACACACATGCGATCACACACGCACACACAGATGGGCACAAACATGCACATACATACTCATATGTGTATGTATGTATATGCACACATGCACACATGTACACACACATGCACACACGTGTATATGCGCGCACATACACCCACACACATGAAAACATGCACACATGTATGCACATGTGCACACATGCTCCCTCCCACTACAGGTCCAGGGCAGAGTGCTGGGACGTCCCCTGGGGACGCAGACCTAAAGTTGGGCCCTGGCCCTTCCCTCCCATGTGTCCCCTCCCTTCTCTGAGTCGCAGCTCTTCCCTGAGAAAAGGAGTGGAAATGGCCACCCACCAGGTAACGGGGCTTCAGTGAGACCCAAAAGTCTGACATCTGCAGTGAGATTCTGGTGATGGGAGGCCCCACCTCGGGGTGAAGCACAGCAGGTCTCTGCTCCTCCATAGCAGGCCTTGGACGGGCAGTGCTGGCAAGGTCCCCATGCGTGGAAACCTTTCAGGGACTTCAGAGGCTGGCCTTGGGTGGGGAGCAGGGTGGAAGGGAGGGGCCCCAGATCACAACCTCAGCCTCCCCAGCACCCCCTGGCCATGAGCAAGGATAGCCTGGAGATTGTATCACCCTGGACCTTGGCTACCTGCATCTTAGAGGACCAGCTGAGCCCCCTCCCATAGGGTAGGGAACCTATGGGGCCCAGGGGGCGTGCCCACCAGGAGCCTCCGCCTCTCCTGACTGCATCCAGAAGCTGAGATCCTGGAATCTCCTTTTCCAACAGCCCTCAGCCCCTTTCCATGGCCTGGAGGGGCTCTTCTCTAAGCCCATCCAAGGTCCCTGCTCCCAGGACAAATCTGCCACCAGTAAAAGCAGACCCTGGGCCAAGGAGCAGCCGTTTCAGGGGATGGGTGTGGATGGAGCTGGGCCTGGCAGGCTGGCATCTACATCCATCTATGTAAGCAAGGTCCTTCCAGTCCTGGTTGCAGCCATGCTGGGAAGAGAGGGCTTGGTGGCCAGGGGCCAGGGCCTGCAAGTATCAGGGGCCGGTCTGGTGGGGACCTGGGCCTCAGGATGGGACTGGGCAATGCTCATCAAGAAGCCTGTTTGGGCTGGGCGCAGTGGCTTATGCCTGTAATCTAAGCACTTTGGGAGGCTGAGGCGGGGGGATCACTTGAGGTCAGGAATTCAAGACCAGCCTGGCCAATGTGGTGAAACCCCATCTCTGCTAAATATATAAAAATTAAGTGGGCATGATGGTGGGTGCCTGTATTCCCGGCTACTTGAGAGGCTGAAGCAAAAGAGTCACTTGAACCCGGGAGGCGGAGGTTGTGGTGAGGACAGGACACTGCACTCCATCCTGAACAGAGTGATACTTTGTTTCGGGGAAAAAAAAAAAAAAAAAGCGGTAGCCTGTTTGTTGGCGGGTGCAGTGGCTCATGCCTGTAATCTCAGGACTTTGTGAGACTGAGGCAAGCAGGTTGCTTGAGCCTAGGAGTAGTTCCATACCAGCCTGGGCAACATAGGGAAACCCAGTATCTACAAAAAATACAAAAATTAGCCTGGCATGGTGGTGTGTGCCTGTAATATGAGCTACTTGGGAGGCTGAGGTAGGAGAATAGCTTGAACCCAGGAGGTGGAGATTGCAGTGAGTCAAGATGGTGCTACTGTCCTCCAGCCTGGGTGACAGAGTGAGACTCTGTCCCAATAAATAAATAAATAATTTAAAAAATTAAAAAGCTAGGGATGGTGGCGTGGGAGGCTGAGGTGAAAGGACCATCTGAGCCTAGGAGGTTGAGGCTGCAGTGAGCCATGATCGCTCCACTGCCGGGGTGATAGAGTGAGACTCTGTCAAAACAAAAGAAAGAAAGGAAGAAAGAGAAGGAAGGAAAAGAAGGAAGGAAAGAAGAAAGGAAGAAAGGAAGGAGGGAAGGAAGGAAGGAAGGAGGGAAGGAAGGAGAGAAGGAAGGAGGGAAGGAAGGAGGGAAGGAAGGAGGGAAGGAAGGAGGGAAGGAAGGAAGGAAAAGGGGAAAAAAGCAGCAGTCTGCTTCTCAGGAGCAACCTCCTTCACCTGACAAGAAATGTTCCAGGCCTCCTCTGTCCAGCCTCAAATGCCTTCAGGTTCAAAGCACCCCAGCCCTGCCACAGGACCCCCTACCTGACCTGGGGACTCCAAAGCAGAGTCTACTGGTCAGCCCAAATGGAGGTGCACAGGGAATTTGAACCTACAGTTCCTCCCGCAGATGCAGGGCCACTGTTGGACAGGGCAGACGGCTCAGCCCAGGCCAGGGCTCGACCTTGTAGAATCAGGACCTTAGGAACAGTCAGACTCAGAAACCCCATCAGGACTGGGTTCAAATCCTGACTCTCCATGGCACCAGCTCTGTGACCTCAGGAAAGCTATTGAGCCTCCCTGAGCCTTAACTTCCCTTCTTTTGGAAACTGGAGATCAAATATGCCTCCTAAGAATGTCACTGGAATCAAATATAATCATGGCTTTAAATTCTCCCTGTACCCAAAGGCCATACAGAGGTCCTTCGCAAAGTGTTTGTCGAATGAATGATTTTAAAAGACAAATCTGAAAAGGGGTGGGAGGCATCAGAGGAAGCTATAGATCTCAGCCCACCCCCAGCTCCCAATCCCTCCCACCAAACAGCCCGGGTCTCAGTACAGCAAGCAGCTGCGGTTCCTTCCTGGGGCAAGACCCCCTTCCTCTGCTCTGAGCCGCTCCCCAAGCTGCAGGAGGCACAGACACATGTTCGGAGGGGGCATTATCTGTGCTCAGTTGACTGTAAACGTTTAAGCAGAATTGACTGTGTACTCAGCCACTTTCAAACACAACTAATCTTCATCGGGGCGACGGGAAGTGAAATATGTTATTGTCGGTGGCAGTAAATTACCCATGCCAGACCTGGCGTGTGAGGCACTGCGGGCCATGGCCGGCATACTCCTTCACCCGGCTGCCACCTGCCCGCAATTCATTACTGCAAACGACCCTGGTCATCTCCTCGCCAGGCCTGGGGACATGAGGCTGACCGCCAGCCTCCTAGGGCCTGGTCCCCACCTACCTTGGGCAGCAGGTGGGAAAGAGGGCTGAGGGGCCAGAGCCTGGCATTGATGCCTGGGCAGGAGACGCGAGAAGACCTTTGCCCATCAGCTTCTAGTAGGTCAGTGACAAGATGGGGAGACTGAGGCACAGCAGAGAAAGGGATTTGACCCAAGTTGCTGCTCTGCCACTTTCTTAGCCCCAGTTTCTGTACCAGTAAAATGGGGATTCATTTATCGTTTTCCATTTTTGCACAGCTCTGTAATGACTGGCTTAATAGAACACAGCTGGATTCTCATATGTGCTTCTGCTTCAGCTTGCTGCAACATGTCTTGGTTTAAGTGTGGGAAGAATATCTGGCTTCGCACAGACCGTTGCCTCAAAAAGGAAAGAGTATTTTAATAGCCTTCTCAGATAATTGTGGATATCCTTCTTGGATACTAAACCAGATCTTCACAAGTGGTAGTTTCTCAATGGTTTGTTACAGTACGGTATCTGAAACCGCATCAATGAGCTTTTCTTTCTTGGTTAAAAGCCACTGGTCTGCTTTGCACTTTGAATAGGTCTTTTATTCATTTTGTAACATGATGCATTGGTCATTGGAAAAAATATTGGTTTACTGAGTTATGCATCTCTTCTAGATGTTGTCACATTTCATAATACGATATCCAAAAAAGTCACATTCACTAATATACCCACCAGGCTCTGGGAAAGTATTTAAGTAGGAAGCTGTCAAACCCACGGTGGCAGATACAAGTTCTCCAAAATTCTAATTTTTGCTCACAAGTCACATTTTATCATTGGAAACAAATACTGTCAGTTGACAAGCAACTTTGTTCCTTTTTGAGAAAATATCTGCCAAATGCCCAAGTCTGAAAGGCTACAGTCTGTTGGTTGGTTGTTCTTTCAAGTACAAACGGTGTTCCACGAAGAGTGGCTAGTGTGGTTTGTGGCACAGCCACGCGGTGCTTGTTACCAGCAGCCACTGATCCACGAGAGGGGCTTTCTATTGTATGTACTGCCCCTGCTGTCACACAGAATATTTAGAAGTGGTATGCTCAAAGGTTGAGATCTTTAAAATTAATACCTTTAAATTGTCTTTATTTTCTGAGACAGGGTCTTGCTCCGTCACCCAGGCTGGAGTGCAATGCCGCAATCTTAGCTCACTGCGACCTCTGCCTCCAGGATTCAAGCAATTCTCCTGCCTCAGCCTCCTGAGTAGCTGGGACTACAGGCACCTGTCATCACATCCAGGTTTTTAGTAGAGACAGGGTTTCATCATGTCGGCCAGACTGGTCTTGAATCCCTGACCTCAGGTGATCCTCCTGCCTTGGCTTCTCAAAGTGCTGGGATTACAGGCATGAGCCACCATGCCCGGACCTTTAAATTTTACTCAAGGGCATTCTTAAGTGAAACTGGCTTTTTCGATGACAGTGTTTAAGATGAAGAAAGAGATGATTTCCCTCCCAGTGTGGTCCCACTGCTCTGGCCAATACCTTTGCACTGTCTGTAGCCAGACTCCCCTGAGTGTGCCTGACCTCATCTGCATCTCCAGAGCTACAGAGGGTCAGGCCCAGCAAGTACTTGGAGGAAAGGACATCTTGCATTATGATGAGAATAGTTTTAACCTCCCAGACACCCTGAAACAGGCTTGGGGACCCCCCCCCCAGAGGTCTGTGACCACACTTTGACAATCACTGATTCTTCCAGGGCTGCCAGGGGTGTTGGAGGATGTGGATGAAATCAGATGAAAAGAAACATCATAATAAACAGCTCCACATCACCAGGCACCAGCACCTCTACCCCCATTATCTAGGCCTCCTCCCCATTTGGGGGCAAATGTCTTCTATCCCCATGTCCAGCCCCTCTCCCAACTGCAACTCTGGCTGAAGCTGCAGATGAAAACCCCTTGGCTCCTTCAAAACTCCCTTGAAAAGTCAACTTCTTCCTGAAGTCTTACCGAACATAAGCCCTCAATGGGGATCACATCTCCCACCTCTGCAGCTCCAGTCCACTCTGTTATCTTCTTCATGGCCAAATCTCATTCTTAGCATTCTTCTTTGGACATAAAAAGTCCTCCACAGGCTCCTTTTGATCAAAAGGAACGAGGATAGGGAAAGCGTGTCTCCATCAATGGCTGGGGATGATGAGCGACATTGACTAACCCATGGTTAGCAGGCCAAAGCATTCTGGGAAATCCTGCAATCAATTTCAGAGCATGGGCATGTTCCCAAGAACTGAGGACCAGGAAGTAACACGCCAGGGGGACTGGGACCAGAGGGACCTGGTGGAGAGGAAGGCTGACAAGTTCTCCAAGGGCTGACCTAGCCCAAACTGTGACTTTGATGAAGCTTACATTTAGGATCCTTTTTGCTGTGTGACCTTGGGCAAACCACTTAACCTCTCTGGGCCTCCATTTCCACATCTGTCAAGTGAAGTTTGGATCAATCACTAGAACTCCTTACAGCTCCCCTTTCTGTGAGTCAATGATCTGCCTGTGCTAAAACATGATGTTGACCCTCCTCCCTCCTAGGAGAAGGGCAGTCAAGCTTTCTGGGCTGCTGACATTGGAACCTAGCACGATGTTGACATTCAAATGTTCTGTGACATCATCAGATGATATGCACACATGCCATAATGCTAATGTGACAAGCCCACCATGCTGACATTCAAACATGCTGTTGCCGACATTGAATGCTCTGACATCATTCACTCAGGCAGCATAAACAACAGCCAGCTATGTGCCAATCACACAAACAGCCTGGGAAACCTATGTGTCCACAGAGTCCCTTCTCAGAACTTTCCTCGCCAAGAATCTAGACCCCATAGCAGCCTTGGGGAGAGGCTTAGGTGAGCTTATGTGCAGAATGTTCTCAACATAATGGAAATGGGACTTTAACACAAGGCCTCCAATTCTTCCAGCCAGGCTCTGTTTCAGAAAAATCCAGAGCTGTCGATTGGGCCTGGTGGCATGTATCTGTAGTCCCAGCTACTTGGGAGGTTGAGGCAGGAGGATAGCTTGAGCCCCAGGAGTTTGAGGCTGCTGGGAGCTATGATCATATCACTGCCCTCCAGCCTGGACAACAGAGTGAGACCCTGTCTCAAAACAAAAATAAAAACCAATCCAGGGCTGTCTTTGCTTAGCCCCGACTCCTGCAAGATTCCCTGCTCCCTCCCTGCTTTCCACCCAGGGCCTTAATGGCTGGAACATGTCAGTGGGGGGCATCCAGGGAGAAATCAAAGCGCAGGGGCAGAACCCACAAAGGGCCCTGGGAGAAATGTCCTGACCTCCTCCTCCTGCCCCTCACCCCCATCCCTGTTGACTGAGGCTGGGCAGGGGAGGAGGGGAGTATACAGGTGCCCACCCCCACACCCCAGGCTGCTGCTTGGGCAAAGCTTCCAAACCCGGATTGGTCTTGCCTCTCCTGCCTTAAAAAAAAAAAAAAAAAAGGAAGAGAAAAGAAATTCCTGCAACTTGAACAATCATTGTGTTGGATTTGGGAGATGTTATTCCTAGTGACAGACAAGGGCAATTATCTGCAATCCGCCAGCAGTTTTAGCCTAATTTCATTACTGCCATGCAATTCTCCCTGAGCTGCTAGTCTATCAATGTCTTGCAGAACGGATTAGCGGGCACTTTCTTCATCTTCGAATGAATTTTAACTGTCATGCCCTTGATGAATAGAGCAGGGGCAGGCAGCTGACCTCGGCCAGGGAGTGGCTAGGGGGCAGCAGGCTGGCGCCCTCCAGTCCTGGTAGGAGGTAGTGGGAGGTGGTCCTGGGGGTGAGCTGAGGCAAAGGTACCTGAGTGGTTCAGCCTTCCCGGAACCCTCCACGCCCAGCACTTGAGGGCTGCTTGGGCCCGTGTGCTGGGGTCTGGCACACTGAGAACCCCCTCTAGGACACCTTCCCGGGTGCTGGGCTGAGAATACTAGAGGGGTTCTTTCCTAGATGGGTGCCACTGACATCCAGGCCCCCCCAACACCCCATTAACACCCCAAGCTCCAGCTTCCAGTCTGCTTTCCTGAGACTGTGCACCTCACAGGAGCAGGGGTCAGAGCTGTCTTGTGGCGGCTGTGTCCCCCGAGTCTGGCTTGGAGGAGACGCTCAGACAGTGTTTGTTGCAGGACAAATGACTCTCAGTTCTGCTGCAGCTTGGGCCGGGGCCCGGTGCAGGCCTGACACATGGCAGGAGCCCAATCACTATTAGACAAATGGCTGATGGTACGGGTGGCTTATTAGAAAGAGGGTGGGAAAGGGACGGAGGGAGTGCTTTGTGGGGCTCACATCAAGCACTGTGCTGGGGACGTTGCTGATGTGGCATCCTTTCATCTTAGAGAAGTGAAGCTGCTACATAAGCAAATAAGTTGGAAATTGGCAAACCCAGGCATGTCTGACATCCTTGCTGCTCCCAAGGAGCACTGTTTTGGGAGTGCGGGGTGTGAAGTGAGATTCTTCTCACCCATGAGGGTGAGGCCTCATGGGACTCAGGGTCTGCAACATGGGGTGAAGTCTCTGCCTGGTTAAGAACCCCCTCTTGCCCACTGCCCCTCAGAAGACTCTCCCATAAAATACTTCTCCAAATTTCTGGGAAGAAAGGCTGCAGCAGGCTTTTTCCTTTTACCCTTGGTCTGTTCTCCTGTTCCCTGCCTGGCTCTGTGCCCTGGGAAGCTGACCTCCATAGACAGCATCCAGGGGCGTCTTGTCCTCTAACTTCCAGTTGGTATCATCCAATGGGAGTGTTGGGACAAGTGGGCAAAGAGGAAGAAATGGGGAAGCCAAAAGCCTCCAGCTCCTGGTTTCCCCAGGTGGTCGCTATCCAAGTCCCAGTCAAGCCTGACTGTGCTTAGCTTCTGGACTGGAGCAATCTCAGGCTGCCATGGTGCCAGGGGGCTGCCGGAATGGACACCCACAGAGAGTTCCCTGTCTTTGGTGGGGCACAGACAGGCAGGAACATGACTTAGAAATCCAGTGTCAGGAGGTGTTTAGGAAGCATTACAAGAGAGGGAGAGTGGGTCGGAATCAGGAAGCCAAAGCCTCCAGCCCTTGCCTCCCCAGGTGGTCCCCTATCCAAGCCCCAGCCAGGCCAGACCCTGCCTAGCTTCCACACCATGGCACAAGTGGGAGGAGGGAGAGTTTAGGGTGTCTCTGCCCAGCTCAGCTGGCTTGACTGCTGCATTCCTGGCAGTAATGTGTCCCTTTGTGATCAAGGCTCCTGCCTGCCTGGTGGCACCTCTCTCTGTGGCTCCAGGTCCTAGTGGGATCCAGTAACTCCATCTCTGCCCCATCAGACCTTGGAAGCTAGAAGGGGGGTCCTTGATGTTTCCGTACCCTGAGGGTCTCACCATCCCTGTTTGGTTTGCACCTCTGTTTACAGAGCTCCCTTGGCTAAACTCTTCACTGGTACCATCCCAGTGGAATACCATGGGATGTTGGCTGGAGCTGGGGGGAGACTCTAGTAGCTCATTGTGACAGCACCTTGCTGCCCCTGCACCTGCTCTGTCCAGGCACTGGTCTGGGTCATGGGCTCACACCAACAGCTCAACAGGACAGCACTATTTACAGAGAAGGATACTGAGGCTCAAAGAGGTGAGCAGACTGTTAGGGCACTGCTTGGGGAGGTGGCGGGTTGGGGTTTGAACTCTTCCCCTGTCTCCCCAGCTTATCATCTTAACCCATAGATACACATCCTTAACTCTCTGCCCTGCCAGAAACCATAGCCAGCAGACATTGGTCTTCCTCAGAAAGACCAGACATTGTCTTTCACCCTCAGATGGCAGCCACCATGGATCCCTGAGGCTTCCCTGGCCCCCAGCAGGCTTCTACATCAGCAGCAGGAAGTCAAGACCAAGAGAAGGGGGCTCCCTCCACAGCAGCCACCCCATCCGCTCCTGTTACACCCAGAGTGCCGGCTCTCTTCCCAGAACTTCCTCCAGCAGAAGGAAAATCCCTGGATAGAGGTCATTCCAGCCCTCTACTTTACATGTGGGGAAACTGAGGTTCAGAGAAGCAAAAGGTCTTGCTCAAAGTTGAGACAGAGTCACGTAGAGCTGGCCCGGACCCAGAGAGCAGACTGCATGACCCCAGTGTTGCAAAATAAGCCTCCACCCCCATTTTCCTATTCAGTTTTTTTTCTTTCTCTGGGCCCCCAGGAGACTATCCCAAGTTATCGATCGCTGGGGCACCCTTCAGTCAATATGTGCACTTTACTAATTAATCTTTTCCAGATAATTGCAGGAAATCATTGGTTGATGTGAAGTGGGAGGCTGTAGAGGCAGCCTCTGTCCCCGACCTGCCTAGAGCAGCTTCTGGCAGAGCCTACCCGCCTGTCCCTTATTCTCTCTGCCTCCCTCCAGAATCCTCAGCCAGGACTCCCACCAGCGGTCCTGGCACTGCTCTGGATGCAGCAGGGAACACCGGGAGCAGGACGGTTCTGGGTCAAATTTCGACTTTGGCAATTATTCGCTGTGCAACCACAGACACATCATTTAACCTCCCTCAGCCTCGGCTAAAAAACAGAATAGAACTTGTGACCTTCATCACAGCCTGCTTACAAAGCCAAAACAGACCAGGTGCCGTGGCTCACTCCTATAATCCCAGCACTTTGGGAAGCCAAGTCAGGAGGATCACTTCAGGCTAGCAGTTCAAGACCAGCCTGGGGAACATGGACCATGTCTCTACAAAACAATAAAAAAAAAATTAGCCAGGTGCGGTAGTGTGTGCCAGTTACTTGGGAGGCTGAGGCAGGAGAATCACTTGAGTCTAAAGAGTTGGAAGCTGCAGTGAGCTATGATGGTGCCACTGCCCTCCATCCTGGGTGACAGAGTGAGACCCTATCTCTAAACAGCAAACAAAAAGGATAAAAACAGGCGGGGTGCGGTGGCTCATGCCTGTAATCCTAGCACTTTGGGAGGCCAAGATGGGCAAGTCACCTGAGGTCAGGAGTTCAAGACCAGCCTGGTCAACACGGTGAAACCCCAACTCTACTAAAAATACAAAAATTAGCTGGGTGTAGTGGCTCATACCTGTAATCCCAGCTACTCTGGAGGCTGAGGCAGGAGAATAACTGAAACCCAGAAGGTGGAGGTTGCAGTGAGCTGAGATTGCACCACTGCACTCCAGCCTGGGTGACAAAGTGAGACACACACACATACACGTACACACACACACACACACACACACACACACACACAAGATGAAAACAAAAGAAAGCATTTTACTACCAATTTAAAATATTACTTCTATGGCTAATAACAGCAACTCCAACAGTTAACATTAAACAGGGGCTTTGCCACATTCCAGGTACATTCAGAGTGTCTGATAGGCACTATGATTAGCCCCCTCATATAGAAAGGGAAACTGAGGTTCTGGCCCAAGGTCACAGAGTGAGAAGCAGAGCCCCAATCTCTGCTTAGCACGTAGGAAGCTGCTCACTACCTCATGCTGTGTTCACCCAGACAAGTGTCCCACACAGAGCAGTGTCTAAGGAGCCAGCTCTCCACTGTGCCCATCTCGGAAGCAGGAAGGAGGTGGGGATGGGTGCCAGCATGGGACAGGGCTCAGAGGTAGCAGCCTGAGCTTCCTTCTGTAAGTCCCCTTGCCCCAAAACTCAAAGAGCCCAAGGAAGTTACAGGCTGGGTGTATCCAGGGTCCCCAGGAGCATCTTCAGCCCCCACAGTCATTAATCATGACTGGACACCCCTGGATGAAATTTCCCATCCCTTTGGGGTTTCTCTCTGTCTCTCAGATATCCCTTAATATATAACCTCACCGGGCCATATATACCTGCTCCTAATAAACCTCTATGACTTTAATGAACTAAATAGCAAATTACTTTTTTATTCAAGAATGAAATTTCATCATATTCATAATTCATATTTTATTTCAGACATCTGCTGCTGATTACATTACATTTAACTAAAATTAGATGATGCTCAGAATGCAATTAAGACTCTGCCAAATTCTTCGGCCCACCAATGCCGGCGGAGCGCAGCGGGGGCCGTGAGGAACCTAATATGTAATTAGGAGCTATTTTCTAGCTGTTTTTAAAGTCTGAAAATTAGCTGCCTTTATTAATCACACAGACAAATATAAAGTGGAACCAACGCTCGCCGAAATTTCTAAAAGGGATTTTTTGTTTAATTATACACCGCAGAGCGCCGCGACTCGTTCTGCATGTTGATTTGTTGTGCACTGACATTTTGACAACTGGTTCTCAATTTGTCTGTCGTAGTCAGGCAACAACAAAGCCGACGGTAATGCTTTAACTTTCAAAACCTTCAGTGTGCCGGGGAGAGGAGAATGGCATTCCGCACCGTGGGCTTGCGGCTGGGGCTCTCGAAGCCAGAGACACGGGGAGAGGGGCAGGTGAGGGGCAGAGGGGACTCCCAGGACGATGCCAGCTGGGTAGGTGACAGGCATTCTGGATCGGGAGTCAAGGGGCCAAGTAACGGGCCCTGCTCTGCGGGGTGGCTAAGTGGAAGCCCTCTCTATCTCTGGGCCTCTGCACCAAAACGGGCTGGAGTCTGAGATCTTCAAGGAACCTGTAGATGCCAAAATTCTGTCTTCTTTTCTCTGTGTGTTAATGTCATCTGTGTAGTATCATTTGGCCCCTTGACCTTACCAGGAGGTTCTGCTTTTTTTAGACACTGGGTCTCACTCTGTTACCCAGGCCAGAGTGCAGTGGTGCGATCATAGCTCACTGCAGCTTTGAACTCCTGGGCTCAAGTGATCCTCCTTGCTGAGTGGCTGGGTTATGGGTGTGAGCCACGGTGCCCAGTCTCCAGGGGAATCTTTCATTATCCCAGTGTACAGAGGATGCGACTGAGACTCAGCAACTTGTTAGCCAACATCAGGTGGCCACACCAGAACTCAACCAGGGAGCTCACTGACTCCAGAATCTATGGTTCTAACCACTGTATCCACCTCCCTGTCCCTGAGCAAGGGACAGCCCTCTGGGCCTCAGACTCCCTTCTGTGATGCCAGGACATGGTGGAGTAGCACCCAGGGGGCCAGGGTCAGAAGGCACCGGCAGCACGGAGCAGGACTGAGCCCCACACAAGGACTCCCAGACTCAGTGGAACTCCTGAGCTCACTCCACACCCTTGGAGGTTCCTTAGGCCACCCTGTGGGTACAACTACCCAGTAATGTCCAGAAAGTCCCAGGACAGAGAGTGACTGACAAGGGGCCCAGGATTCCCCACGGTGCCCAAACAACGACAACAATAATAATAACAGACGGCTTTTTCCCATGTGCCTCGTACTGTGTTGGCACTTTATTATCACCGGGCACAGCGATTCACACCTGTAGTCCTGGCACTTCAGGAGGCCAGGGCGGGAGGATCACTTGAGCCCAGGAATACATAGAAAGGCCCCACCTCTATAAAAAATTAAAAATTAACTGGGTGTGGTGGTGGACACCCATAGTCCCAGCTACTTGGGAGGCTGAGGTAGGAGAATCAATTGAACTGGGAGATGGAGGCTGCAGTGAGCCGTGATCGCGCCACTGCGCTCCAGCCTGGGCAACAGAGAGAGACCCTGTTTCAAAAAAAATTACCATCATCTACACTCCTTCCACTAACCTTCCGAAGTGGGTTCACAGCCAGGCTTGGAGTCTCACAGCCTGGATTCAAACCCAGCCCCGGCAACTTCTCTGCCGTGGTAACCTTGCGCGCTGCCTCACCTCTCTGAGCCTCAATTTCCACATCAAGAAAATGAGGAGCTTGACTGCACCCACCTCTCTGGGTTCTGGAGAGGACTGAAGAGGATAATTGGGTGTGTGGCCCAGATCAAGCCCTCAGCCACTGGAAGGTTCCTGTTTTGCTCTAAGGTGCCTGCCGCCAGGTGGGTCTGACATCATAGCCCATGCTCCTACCCCACTGCAAAAGGCCTCCCTAATTTCCACCGAGGAGGGCAGGGGAAGGGCCTGAGAACCCACTGTGCGGTCTGGCCACCGTGGCCATCTCCAGGGATCCTCAGGGTGTTTTCATCTTCCATCTCTCATTTCCTTTGGCTCCCTGGAGGGAGTGCCCAGCAGCTGCCTGCAGGAGACAAGGTGTGGCAGAGCCCACTATGGGGTCTCCCCCACCCCCCACCCCACCTCGAACCAGCACATGACCTGCCAAGGCCTGTTTTCAGGAGCCAGCCCTGCCTCCTCCTCCTGCCCCCAGACCTGCCTGATGAAAACGCCAACGGAGAAAAGGAGGTTTTTTTGGGTGACAATGAAACTGCCAATAAAATCTCGAATGCAGAGATAGGCAACGACTATTTCACTTATTCTGACAGTTTGAGACTTTGCTGGGGAAGGGAAGTGACAGGCATCTGCCGACATCAACACCACTTCTTTCGGAGAACAGCCCGTGGGAGAGGGCTTCCCGGGAGACCTGCCTTGCCCAGATGCCAAGCGGGCTGTGGCTGCTGCTGTCAGCAGCAGGGGCTGGGGTCACCCGCGGAGGAGAGGCTGGACACCCTGACTCTATCCACATCTCCCCTCTGAGCGCAGACATACGCCAGGCTCTGGCTAGAGACCACAGAGGCACAAACAACCAGCAAAACCCCTGCCCTTAGGGGTTGTTTTGTTTTTTGAGACAAAGTCTGGCTCTATCACTCAGGCTGGAATGCAGTGGTGCAATCTTGGCTCACTGTAACCTCCACCTCCCGGGCTCAAGCCATCCTCCCACCTGAGCCTCCCGAATAGCTGGGACTACAAGCATTCACCACGATGCCAGCTAATTTTGTATTTTATTGTGGAGCTGGGGTTTCCACATGGTGCTCCGGCTGGTCACGGGCTTTGAGCTCAAGCCATCCTGCCGTCCTCCCACCTCAGCCTCCCAAGTAGCTGGGACTATGAGCACTTAACCACAATGCCTGGCTAATTTTTGTATTTTTTTTTTTTGTAGAGATAGGGTTTCCCCCTGTTGCCTAGGCTGGTCTCAAACTCATAAGCTCAAGCGATCCTCCTACCTCAGCCTCCCAAAGTGCTGCGATTACCCACATGAGCCACTATGCCCAGCCCCAGAGGAGTTATTAGGAATGGATGTGTCCCCCACAAAGAAATTTTGAAGTCCTAACCCCAGGTCCCCATGAGTGTGACTTTATTTGGAATGAGGTCTTTGCAGATGTAATCAAGTTAAGATGAGGTCATGAGGCGGGGCTGGTGTACTTATAAGAGAAAACGTCATGTGAAGCCAGACACACAGGGGGAAGGCCACGTGCAGCAACAGGCCAAGGCTGGAGTGATGCAGCCGCCAGCCCAGGGATGCCCAGGACTGCTGGCCACCACTGGAAGCTAGGAAGAGGAAGGGAGGATTCCGCCCAAGGTCCCAGAGGGCCCATGGTCCTGCCGTCACCTTGATTCAAGACTTCTGGGCTCCAGAACCCCGAGAGAGAAAATCCGTCGTTTCAAGCCACTGCATTTGTGGGACGTGGTTACGGCAGTCCTCATTAGGGCACTGATATAAAGGGCTTCCATGCCAGCTAGGGCATCAGCAAAGAGGCCCACCTCTGGCCGGAGACTATCAAAAGAGGGGTATACGGCCAGGCACAGTGGATCACACCTGTTATCCCAGCACTTTGGGAGGCTGAGGCAGGGGGATTGCTTGAGGCAGGGGGATTGCTTGAGCCTAGGAGTTCGAGACCATCCTGGGCAACATAACAGGAACCCCATCTCTACAAAAGAAATGTAAAAAATTAACCAGGCATGCCGGTGCATGCCTGTAATACCAGCTACTTCAGAGGCAGAGATGGGAGGATCGCTTGAGCCCATGAGTTCAAGGCTACAGGGAGCTGTGATTGTGCCACCACACAGCTGTCTGGGCGACCAAGTGGGAACCAGTTTCAAAGAAAGGGAGTGGGGTGTACCCTCTCCTTGAACAGGGTGACAAGGCGGACTCCAAAACTGAAGGCCGCTCCAGGCACCTACAAAATCTTCCTATTACCTCCTCTCCATCTGCCTCTCATGCCACTGCCCCTGTCCAGCCATTGTACCTCTCGCCTTACTCCCTTCCCCTGCTCTCTCCATTTATCATGTGACAGCCAGAGAACTTTCTAAAGCATCATTATGACCCCACCATACCTGCCTGTCACCCACCCTGGCTCCCCAGGGCCCTCAGGATAAAACTTGCTTTATGCTGGCCTCATACTGTCGGTTCCAAATGAACATGGAATCATGTTTGGATTCCCTGTGCATGCCACAGCATTGTTCATTTCAGTGCCTTTGCTGCCTCAAATGCCCTCTCTCACCTTCTAGCACAGCCAAAATTCCACCAAGGCACCTCCTTCTCCAGGAAGCCTTCCTTGATTCCATGCCAGGTGGGGATATGCATCCCTCTTCTTCCCTGGCTCCCATGGTAACTCGGAATCTACTGCTCTTCACCATCATCACTGGTTTGCTTAGCTTGCTCTGCACTGTAAGCCCTGGAGGGCAGGGAGGGGTTTGTCTGAGCTCAGGCAGTACGTCCACTGGCTACCTCTGCCCCAGCCACACTCAGCCCTTGGCCAAGAAGCTGGCCCTGGGAACAAATGCTGGCTCAGCTATCAAGACCCAGGCCAGAACACCTGCTGCTTGTGACACTCTGTGTCTGTAACACTCTGTGAGTCCAGGGCCGGAGAAGAGGAACTGACTTTGAGATCAAAGGCTCTGGGCTTGAACCCCGTCTCCCTGCTGGCTGGCCTTAGGCATGTTGCTTTGTCTCTGAGCCTCATTATCTTTATCTGTGAAATGGCAACAGCAAGACCTACAATATGGGGCTGAACTGCAGTCATTATTCATGATTATTATCACCATCATAATGATCAGGTCATTGTAGTTGTAATGATTATTTTGTAGATTTCTGTTTCCAAATCCATGTATCTTTCAAGGTCGCCTTCCCTGCCCAACTGCTCAGACTTGTGAGTCATGCATGCACCCTGGGAGAGTACTCAACATTCCTATATGCCATTGAATTCTTGTAACTCTTTACATATTTATTTTATATTCTTCCAACTGGATGACATTGCCCTTACCAGCAGGGAATGTGTCATACTTCAGGGGCTCTTGAGAAACTCAACAACTGCTGGTTGACAGATGTGTGCCCTCACTGCTCACCCAGGCCCCATACCAATCTGAAATGCCCCCGGGCCTTGAGTTGAGGAAGAAAGCACAGGGTAGAGGTTATGAACTGGATATGAGGACAGACAGACCTGTGTTCCTAGCCAGTTCTGCCCCTAGCAGGCTGTGAGACTGAGGTTCAGCCATTTCACCCTTCTGAGGCTCGAATTTCCCTTCTGCAAAGTGGGGCACAGAACACCTACTTCTCAGGACATAGGGAGATGGCGCACACCAAAGTGTCTGGCACACAGCAGATGTTAGACGGATGAGCAGCTATTGAACCTCAGAGTCCCGGGTTGGATCCCAGCTTCACCCCTTCCTGGCTGGGTGATGTCAGGCACAGCCCACCGCAACTCTGATCCTCAGCTTTCTCTTCTGCGGAATGGAGAGCTGTTGTGAGCATAACATGAGGTCATGGGTGTTAAGCCTGGCACCAGCGTGTGCAGGAAGTAATGGCTGCTACCTCATTGCATTGAACTGCAGAAGTGTTCAGACCTGGATTCCTCAGGGCGGGTGCCCCCACGCCCAAGATCTGTGAAACGAAGTGAAGGAGAGGATGCAGATGGGAGCTGGCAGCACGAGGCCCTCCCCCGCAGATAAGGACATTTACTAGGCCTGGGGCCTTCCAGCCTGTCACCTCAAAGGACTCACTAGTCCCCTGGATGCTGAGAGTTCCGGAAGGTCTATAAAGGCCCTTCCTTCTCTTTGAGTAAAGACAGGATGAGAAGAGAAGCATCCACCTGCTCTGACCAACGCCCGACCCCCACCCATTCCAAGACCCAGCAAACCCCTTTGGAGGGCTGGGCAGGTGGCCTAGGACAGCCAGATGTCCTGATCTGAGCAGGATGGCCACACTGCAGGCAAGGGGCCTCTATCTGTCTACTTTCCTGCTCATTCATTCATTTCTTTATGCATCAATTCGTCCAGAAAGACTCAAGCTCTTAGCATGAGCCAGGCACAGGGCTAGACTGCAGGGGACGGTGAGTGGGCTCCAATGAGTACCCTCAGGGAGTGGCAGTTTCCTGGAGATAGGAGATGCGACAAGTCAACAAAAGATGGCACATTTGGAAATGAAGCAAAGGGAGAGGTGGCGGGCAAGACGGGAGAGCTGCATTAGAAGGAGGGCGGGTCAGGGAAGGCTCTCAGAGGAGGTGAGTGGTAAATTGAGGCCAGGTACCAGCCAGGTGAAGTGTGGGGGCACAGGGAGGTGTGTGTGCATGGGGAGAAGGTGTGTGTGTGGGGGGGTGTCCCAGGCAGAGGGAAGAGCAGAGGCAAAGGGCCTGGGTGGCACTTGTTTCCATCTCTATCACCGTCACTGCCATCAGCACTCCCATCCAGCCAGGGCTCCCTGTGTGAGCTCCGGTAGCACCGGGAGGGACTCTGCGTTCAGTTTTTTCTCCTGCACCCACGTGTGGGCTTCTGGAAGGCAGGCTGGATTAGCATGGCCCCTGCCACCTCCTCTGTGACTCAGCACAGCACCTGGGGCAGAACGGTCACTCCATCCCATGTACCAAGTAACATTTGAGAATACACAGGCCCCGTGCTCAGTGCCCTGCACCTGCCGTGGCACTTTATCCCCACAGTGACCTGATGAGCTGGTTCCTTGGCTCCATTTTCCAGATAAAGAAACCAAGGCTCACAGAGGTAATGTTGCTCACCCAAGGTCACACAGCTAGCAAGCAGCAGAGCTGAGATTCGAACCCAGATCTATCTGGGCTCTTTGGCTCCATTGCCTAGGCCCTCAGACCCCCAGATCAGGAAGTGGTGGGGGCGGAGGGGGAGCAGAGAGCAGGGTCCCCCACCCTCTGTTCCAAAGGAAGCAGGTTGGAGAGGGATGGTAAGGCCAGCCAGCTTCATAAATAATGGGTCCCAGGGCCCTGCTGGCGGTTTAGCAGCTGGAGAGAGAGTGTGTGTGTAATACAAACAGCACTAATCCCCTGTCAGTTAAACTGGATATCAGAGGAGACAAGCTTCCGAGCGGGGCGTCCTAATTGAATCGAATTGAAAAGGCGGAATGGGCGGCCGGTCGGCCAAGGAGGGCTGCCGGGGAGCAGAGCAGGCGGCTCGGCTCAGCTCGGTGCAGCTGTCTGGGCCTCTCTGCTGCCCTGGGCCGGGCAGCATTCCAGCCCCCACCACAGGGAGCCAGAATCACAAGAATGGGGGGTGCGCCCCCAGCCAGGGTGCTCCGCCCCCTCCGGCTTCTCCTTTATCTGCTGGCTCTGCCGTTTTCTCTCCATCGCTGACCCTTTTTCTGCTCCCTCTGTTATCTCGAATAATGTCACTGCCTCTTTAGAATCTAGTCATCAGAGCAGAAAGAAGTCCGTGCTGACACTGATAAAAAAAATACCATCTGTGCCTCCCGGGGAAGAGCTCGCAACCCAGCCGCCGGTGCCCCCGCCCCGCCACCCGCTGGCCTGCCGCTTCGCGGGGCACAGAGGGGTAATCAGATTCCGGGGGCCTCACCCTTCAGAGTGGCCCCCATACCCCAGCTCAGTCCCCAGAGCCAGGCGGAGCCCAGCTTCTGAAGGTCTCAACCCTAGGGTGGTTTCCATTTTGCATCCGAGCTTGACATGATCATTTCTTGTTGTTTTAATAGTGGTTTTATTACTGAACAGTATTCAAACATCAAACTTTATCCAAAAATCCAGATTTCTGAATCCTCTTTATATAGAAAGGTTTGGATGTGGGTGCACCACCCAGCAGGGCAACAGTTGGCTGGAGCTGGGGGCGGGGCCTGCTGCATCCTCCCCAGGCCTGGCTCATTGGTGGCTGCCTGCTGGTCCCTGGAGGCTTGTGAGTTTGAGACACCTGAGCAGGGAGAGGTTATCAGAGTGACGCTGAGATGTAGGCGGGGAACAAGACCAGGCCACGGCGCCCAAGTGTGTCTCATGGGCCTGGGACTAATATCTCAGATATGAGGAGACGGAGATCCAGAGAGGGGAAGCCACTCACCAAAGTCACACAGCACTTAGAAATGATGACTCCCTGCACGGTGCTCTCCTCAGCCACACAAGGCAGGTGGGGAGATGGGGAGTCCCAATCCTGGCATTGTCACACACCTTCACCTGACTCCCCATCAAAGCTGTGGCTCCCGCATCCACATGCCCTCAGCCCTCCCTAGAGCCCACTCTAGTCAAAGCTCACGAGGAGCATCAGCAGAGGCACTAGCATCTCCCAGGGCCAGCAAGGACACATTAGCAGCCCTCTTGCCCTTTTTCCTGGCCTTGAGATGCCCCACCTCAACCCAGCACCCTCAGTCATTCAGAGCCTGGGTTCGAGTCCAAGCTCTGCCACAACCACACTGCATGACCCATCTCTGTGCCTCAGTTTCCTCATCTGGAGAGTGCAGGTCCTTGTGGCTCTATCTGGGAATGATCTTGACGGACCAGTGTCCATCAAGTGGTGGACGTGCCTCTTAGAGGCAGATGGTAGGAGATGGTAACAAGGGGCGGGTGAGCCACTCTGATGCCCGCCATGGACAAGGCCAGCAGTGTGCACAGAACATCCCCGCCCAGTGAAGTCAAAGCGGGAGGGGAGCAGATGCACTGTCTTGGCAATAGAAGGCAGGTACTCAGTTCAAGGGGAGTCTCTTTCTCCAAGGTCGTGTCCTCAAACTACCAGACATGTGACCATCACTGGCTGACACCGTAGTCTCAGGCAGTCCAGCCAGATAAAATCAGTTGCTCCAGTCCCTCAGGGCTGAAAGGGGTGGCCCTTCCCTCCGATCTCCCTCTGGGGACAAGACATATCCGCAAAATCCAGCCTTGCCTTGTAATGAAAGGGGAGGACATCCCGAGCTTTGGAGTCAATCCTACTGGATTCGAATCCTGGCTTGGCCACCTCTGAGCTGTTGCGTCATCTCTCTGAGCCTCAGTCTCCCCCTCTCTGATGATAACAATAGCTCCTATCCCCTGGGTCTGACTCTACATACTAGGTGCCAGGCTACATTTTATTTACTTCTTAATTATTCTTTGAGACAGGGTCTCGCTCTCTCGCCTGGGCTAGAGTGCAGTGGCGTGATTGTGGCTCACTGTAGCCTTGACCTCCCGGGCTCAAGCAATCCTCCCACTTCAGCTTTTCAGGTAGGTGGGTCTACAGGCACGTGCCACCATGCCCAGCTGATTTTTTGTATTTTTGGCAGAGAAGGGGTTTGGCCATGTTGTCCAGGCTGGTCTCCAATTCCTGGGTTCAAGCGATCTGCCCAACCTCCCAAAGTGCTGGGATAACAGCATGAGCCACAGTGCCCGGCCTGAGCTTCGTTTTAGATGTGCATTATTTCCTAGTATTTCTACGTTACTGATGAGGCACCTGAGGTTCAGAGAAATCACGTGGCCTGCCTAAGTCCCCATAGCTGGAAGTAGTCAGGCCGCAGGGATCAAGGGCAGATCTGCCTGAGACCAGAGTTCACAAAATACTGATTGTTGGGAGGATTAAATGAGGGCATGGGAGCTTCTGGCAGAGTAAGCTGACACACTTATTTCTATGGATAGGAAAAATGAGGCCCAGAGAATGCAAGAGATCTGCCCAAGGTCACACAGCAAGCCACCTTGTTCTGTTTCATTTGGTTTTCTCCTTGCCTTCCCCTCTCCATGTCCTGCTCACCTCCCTTCTCCCACAAACGCTCACCCTTGCATCTGGGGCAAAGACAGCCAGGGTGACACAGGAGAGCACTGTACTTGGAATCCAGAGACCTGTCTCAGTGCTGAGTTTCTGCAGCTGATGACTACATGACTTGGAGCAGGGACTTCATCTCTGGGCTTCAGTTTCCTGCTATGTAAAATGGGCTTCAGCACACTTTCCTCCTGGGCTTGCCATGAGTCTGGATGGAGGAAGCAACATGAAAGGCTCCAGAACCACGGCCAGCATGCCAAAGGGGGGCAGGAGCCATGCTGGTCAGTCACCTCACTGCCCTGGGGCCTGGCCTGGTTCCCGGCACATAGAAGGTGTACATTTAATATCTGCTGAATGAATAGTGCTCATGAGGAAGGGGCAGGACCCTGCCTGCAGCCCTTGGCGGTGGTGGGGTCTGACTGCTTCTTTCTCTGAGCAGGGAGGATGCCCAGGTGCCTAGGACAGCCTCAGTGCCCCTTGAGCATCCAAGGGGGACACCCTGACCTCAGCCAGTACAGTACGCAAATGCCTCAAAATGGATGTTTTCCTGATCAGATTTAAAATATATCTAAAACAGCTCGGGTGCGGTGGCTCACGCCTGTAATCCCAGCACTTTGGGAGGCCAAGGTAGGAGGATCACTTGAGCCCGGGTAACATGCCAGCCTGGGCAACATGGAGATCCTGTCTCTACAAAAAATAAATAAATAAAAAACAATTTGCCAGGCATGGTGGCATGAGCCTGTGGTCTGAGCTACTCAGGAGGCTGTGGTAGGAGAATTGCCTAAATCCTGGAGTTCGAGGCTACAGTGAACTGTGATCACACCACTGCACTCCAGTCTGGGTGACAGAGGGAGACCTTTTCTCTTAAAAAAAAAAAAAAGATTAAAAAACAACATGTTTATCAGACCTTGTTAATCTCTG